TTTTGTAGCTCACCAATGAGTTCTCTGATGTAGTACCACAAAAATGTAAAATGTAAAATGTATGGATGAAACAATAATAATAATTACATATATAGTATTAATATCATTATTTATTATTGTTGTTGTTGTTATTAGCTGATTTTTTTTTGCCATTACACCAAACATTACATATTTTTAAGAAAACAGTACATGAAAAGAAATGTTCATGTGATATAATTATGCCAAGACGAAGGTAGGCATGTTTTGGCTCCACCTGCCAGCTGCAGAGCTCCTCCACACAAAGGAATGTCAGCTATTCAGGTAGCTGGCCCTCCGCTGCCCCACATGCACTAATTTGTTGATTTTAGGAGTTGACAAGCTCAAAGGCTGAGCCCATCCACTCACCACCGCTGGCAACATGCCAGAGGTTTAATGACTTATGACTGACACACACACACACACATACACACACACACAGGTATATCATTAGGGCGTCAACTGTCCCTCTTTTATGACCTGGGTGATGGCGCTTTGTCTTCAGGGTCTACGCCTCCTCCACCTCTACCTGGAGGAAGAATAATTTATGTATTTATTTGTCCTCAGGTATCGAAGGGGTCACATGACAAAGATCCGCAACGCTGGCGAAATTCTGTGACGTCGGATTTCGGCGTCTGCGTGGCGGCAATGGGGGGTGGGGTGGGGGGGGTCAATAATTCCTCAGTCAATCACACACACACACACACGCACACACGCACAACTAGCTACTGGGCAAAGCGCTGCACAGAGTTTGTTTACCTGATCAACAGACCTTATTTATTTACATATTCCTTCTAACTCAAAGCAGAGTCTCAACCAATCAGTGTCGTCTTCCATTACTACTAATACCAAAAGGGATCTTTTTAAAGTACTTTAATTTGTTTAAAACACGTGTACAACAAAGGTGTTTTTCGTAACTTGAAAAAATGTAAAAATCACAAAAATAACGTGTATAAACTAACCACGTCTACCAAGAACAAGAGTTTAACACGAACCCTGGATATCATAGGGCCCTGACGACATGTCACACCCGGACCAGAGAAACCCTGGTCTTGGGTATTGACAAGGTCAGAGTCCGAGACGTCTTTGAATGCCTCCACGGTATGTTGATGTTGACATTGGTGAAGTAAATGGCTAAATGAGTGTTCCTGTTGTTTCGAATGTAGCTCTGTTTGGATTTGTATTGTGATGTGTCAATGGGGGGTATTAACTGAGACTTCGATCATCACTGTGTGGTTTTTATGTGTGTGTGTGTGTGGGGGGGGGTGAGAGGGGGTTAAGGGGGCTGTGGACGCATGGTTGATGCGCCCATCCCTGCTTCTGGTGCCACCGCTGGAGAATGCGGCGCCATTAGTATGCAAACTGTGTTTGACTGCTCTGTCCCCGAGACAAAACCAGTGTTTTCACAGGGAAGAATGCCCCTCTACTAATTAAAGACAATTACACCCCCTCAACAAAAGGGCCCTATTTCAGGGTCATAAATCGACTCCTCCTCTGTTGGTTTTAGAAGGTGCTAAAAAACTCTTGTTTATTTACACAACAGCAGTACGCGAAAAACAAGACTGATAATTACTGTCGGTGATGTCACGAGTTCAACATTAACATTAGGATTAAACATTTGGACGAAAAACATTTAGATGTAGATAGATAGATAATATAATAAATATATTTACATGATGCTGATATTATCATTATATTATGAAGGAAAGTCCATTTGAATTAATTTAGTGTCCATGTCCCCTAAGTGAAATGACAACATATAATACCATTAATCTTAAAAAGAAAAATAACAAAGATAATAGTAAAATCCTGTTTCGATATTACGATGCACAGATTTACCTTTTTGATGTACTTGTGCTAATCGACTTATTGGGTATTTCGAACATGTCTACTTACTGTACACACTGTCTCTGCTGCTGTGAAATGCAAATTTCCCTTTGCGGGGAGTAGTGTAATCTAATTGGTGTTATCTTAATCTTAATGCAAAGATAGATAAATCTTACATAGATCAGATAAAATCTCCGTTTGGTTAATGTTGATTTACTGTTTATCATAACACTGTACGCTACATAGAATGGTCCAATACTGCGAAAACGAGTATATGTGACGTGAAATATTGACAACCCCTGATGAGTTTTAGGGCGTTGTTCATAGATAAAATGTGCATTGAGATATTCGGCCGTGTGTTGAGTGAGAGTGGTGATATCTTAATCTTCATCATAGATAGATAGACAGATAGATAGATAGAAGAAATGATATAACGTAAACACAGCAGCCTGAATACACATTTCCGATGATAAAAATACACATACAATAATCATTCTGAGGTTAATTTATGCAGAAATTCTAATCTAATTTGAGAACATCATGTGATGAGTTTGGACGTTCTTAAATCAAAGTCCAAAATTTAATTTCCCCCGCGTGTTAACTGTTTGGTTCGGTGCGTAAAACTGTCTTCAAAAACAGATCATAATCATAATCATCGTCACGATGGTCGTCAGTGGCCGCTGCTCGACCTTCACGGGAGAGAGGAAAACTCCAGAGAAATTGCGCCGCTGATTGATAAAGTCTTTTCAGTTTTCCTTTTTCTTTTTGCGCCGTGAAGAAATGGATTGAATCGAAAGGAGAGCAGAGATGATGCAGCGAACCAATTGTGTTGGCTCCCCCCCGTGATTGGCTTAGAGCAAAACCCCGCCCCCACGTGGTTTGATATGGGAATTTACTGGCGCCAGCCGTATCAGTCTGCGCCACATCTCATTAAATGCGCTCGCAGACCACCGCACGGAATCAGTGAAGACTTTTTTCTCTTGTAATTTAAACAAGCGTCCAAACCGCAGCCCTCCACCGTCAGCTGATCAGTCTGCAACAGGTACCAGAAGGACACGAACGTGTCCCTCTATCTGTCCTCCCGACTTATCATTTAGTCTTTGCATGACTCCCGTGGCTACAGAGTGTAAGTGTGATGCGCAAAGTTTATTCCTCCAGTCAGCTGTTGTGATTAGTGGAAGCGTTTCTGCACAACAACATAGTCACTTTGTGTATTTTTTTTAATAATTATTTTCTCTTCTTTTCTTTCCAGGTATTTCTCGTTTTTGGGGAGAACAACAACGAGGACATCGGTTATCACAGGAATTGTATTCTTAAATCACTCCTAATACCAGAGACTTTCACAGCTCGAGGACTATATTGTGAAGAGGACTTTATTTCTATTTGGAAGCGTTCGTACGCACTTTGAGTCTCCGCCGAGGTAAACGCCACTGCAGCACACGAAGACACGGGCGGATTCAGAAGAGGAGACGCTGAGCTCAGCCATGGAGGTCGCAGCCGCCGCTGATCAGTCTCGGTGGATGGCGCACCATCACGCCGTGCTGAACAGCCAGCACCCGGACTCTCACCACCACAGTCTAAGCCACAACTACATGGAGCCCATGGCGCCGTTGCTCCCGCAAGACGAAGTGGACATGTTTCTGAACCATTTGGACTCTCAGGGGAACCCTTACTACACCAACTCCCGGGCCAGGGTCACCTACAGCCAGGCGCACGGTAAGACACCAGGGTTTTTTCCACAGTCGGCCTGCGCCGGTGTAATAGTAATAATGGCACAAAATAACTGATAAATTGACTACTGATAGATTTTTTTTAATATATCAGGCTTTTCAGTTTTATTATTTTTATTATTATTATTCTTTTATACGGGTGTATGTGTGTATGCGAGTGTGTGTTGACAAGACTCTCTCATGTGAGGCGCACTATAGCGACGCTGACATTTCTGGGCCGATCCAGCGACATAAAAGGGATTTATAGCAAATGACAGCGAAGGGAAAGGGAAGTATGTCATTTAACCCTTCTCTGTTTGGGGCATGGGCTCGAGAGGGAGAGAAAGAGAGAGAGAGGAACTTCCCGGATTCAAAATAAAAAAAAAACACCCGCAAATGTCCTAGTCCGAGGCTGCAGTCGATGAACAGACACTTCCTAGAGAAGAAGCTTCGATTTTTACGTGTGTGTATGCTTCTGTTTGTTGTTTTAAATTAGCTGAATGTGATCCAGGTTGTTGTGTCACTTAACCGGGCACATAGCGTTAGAAACTGCGTAAAAAATACTTCAAAGTAAATATAATTACTTGGTTGAAAATAAATGTCGGACTTGAGTGATTCTGAGTTTTTGAAAGGTAAGCTCCGCCAAATTTAAAAACGTGTCCAATTCGTTGTAATTTGTGATGGAATTCAAACGTAATTATGTGTCCATTGATCAAATTCGTTTTTTTGTTTTGTTTTTTAGCTCGGCTCACAAGCAACCAGGTCTGCCGACCACACCTCATCCACAGCCCAGGAATCCCCTGGCTGGACCCGGGCAAAGCCGCTCTGTCTGCAGCGCACCACCATAACGCATGGGCTGTCGGCCACTTCAGCAAACCCGGCCTGCACCCCACCAGCTCCGGTTACCCCTGCAGCAGTAACACCGGCACGGCTCCGGTGTCGTCTCTGACGCCGGCGCACTCCCACTCCAGTCCGCACCTCTACAGTTTCCCCCCAACACCTCCCAAAGACGTGTCTCCAGACCCGGGCCCCACGTCGCCAACCTCCACATCCACCAGGATGCAGGACGAGAAGGAGTCCATCAAGTCATCCTACCAGATGCAGCTGACGGACGGCATGAAAATGGAGAGTTGTAGCCCTCTGCGCAGCGGCCTTGCTGCTGCTGCCGCCTCCATGAACGGCCAGGCCGCTGCGGCCACGCACCATCCTATCCCGACCTATCCGGCCTACCCTCTGCACGCGCCTCACGACTACAGCGGCAGCCTCTTCCACCCGGGCAGCCTGCTGGGTGCGTCCTCCTCCAGTTTTACGCCCAAGTGCAAAAGCAAAGCCAGATCAAGCTCAGGTGAGTCAGAATAAAGTCAGATAAAAATGTTATTATAGCAATGCTCGGTACTACTATACAACATGTACTGGTAGAATAGTGTATACTACTATGTTAGTGTGTGTGCGTTTTAAAGAGCGCTGCAATATGTATTGCTATTAATAGTATTTTTGTATTTTTATGCTTAAGTATCCGTAAAATGTTTGACACAGTAAAATGAAATTAGTGACGTAAAACTCGCCAGAACAATTGCGTAGTTTAAAATATTTCGTCAACCTTCTTATATTTTTACGTCAAAAAAGACACAGGAATACATTAATCGTTATTATTATGGACATTGTGAGGGTACAAAAAATGCTATATTTCTGAAATACTATATTATATAATTATTACTCCATTACACTATGAGAAGAAAACAATCGGTGTTTCATTTCTGCAGTAACTCCTGTCTGTGTTCAGACAGTCGCTCTCTCGTGCTTTTGTCTCTGTTTAAACATGAAGCCTTTGGAAAAACACACTTAAAAAGTAGCCAGTCACGACGCCCTGGCTCCTGCCATATCCTGTATACCTCCAAGTGAACAAATCACGACCTCCACCCCCCGCCCACTCTGCCTGCTCTCCCCCAGCACTAACAAAGCACAGGCGACAGAGTCCTGCTGCTGTTTGTGTTTTTAAGCATGGCCTTGGCCCACTGCACTGACACACACAAGCCAGAGTCCACATGTATCACATAGTCCCTCTGCAGATTGGCCAGAACCATGTCCCAGTGATATTGAATATTAATGACGGTAATAATACCATGTGAAACAACACCGTCGACAGGTTCTGGTTACAACCTCCGTTCTCTTTTACCAGCAAACACAACGGATGTGGAGGTTGTTTACATTAAAAACAGCATGTTTTCCAATTGTCTGAACACAGCACCTGACTCAATCCACCACATGCTGGAGGCGTGTAACACCAAAGGTTTGTGCCTGACATTAATGTGCAGACATTTGGAAAACAACTCAGTCTAGTAATGGCCC